ATTAGGTTTGGGATTACCGTGAAGGGATAACCATTGCCTGTTGATAGACCTAGAAATTACATGTTAATTATTTGCTTTAAATTCTTTGTGAATTTATTACTAATTTTTCTACACCATTAGAATTGCATGTGACTTTAGGAAAGTTTGTTAGACTATTCTATGTGAATCATGTCTTTACTTTTGTGGTCATTATTTGGTATTGATGCAAATGTAGGTCTAAGATAAGTGCGAAAAATATGATATGTTTTAACTGTGGTAAAATTTGAACATAGTCAAGGACGGACCCACATGGGGTCATGTGGGGTCACTTCGGATGCAATCGGGCTTGTCGGCTCGGGTTGCCCGTAACTCGGCTCGGGGCTTGATAGACCCGAGCCTAGGCTCTGGCCGAGTCCCATTTTGGGGACGCGGGCTTTGCCCGAGCCGGCTCGTGAGCTCAAGTGTTTATTAAAAAAAAAAATAATAATAATTTTGAGGCTGCCTTGGTAGCAAAACTGCTGCCTTTTAAAGGTAGTAGTTTTGCTGCTGCCTTTTAAGGCAACAGTTTTAGGGAAGGAAAAAAAGGGGAGAAAACGAGCCTGCCCGACTCGGCCCGGAAAAAGCCCGAGCAAAAGCTCGGGCCGAGCCTTTTTTTTTGGCCGAGCAACTCGAGCCCGCAAAAAAGCTCGGCCATTTTAACTGGGCCGAGCCCGAGCCGAAACTTTAGGCTCACGGGCCGGCTCGGCCCGACTTGTTTACTTCCCTAGGGTCACTTGACCTCACAGAATTTTCAGAAATTTTATTATTATTGTTTTTTTTATTATTTTTATCCAAACGTCCCAAGCCCAATTAAACATAAAATTGATCCATTGCCTGCCTGTCTATCCGTCTATGGGCTGCCATTTGCCAAGCCCATTTGCTGATTTGCACACAAGCACATTTATTCAGCTGATTTGCACACAAGCCCGGTAGTAATATATGGAATGTTGTTTTAAAAAAAATTGTATTTCAATTTTTGACCCCACAATGCCAAACGTCTGGCTCCGTCCCTCGACATAGTTGAAAGAGACTGTCTTGAAAATGATAATAAAAGGAAAGATAAGAGAGAGGTAAGGCGAATGTGGCTTTAGGGTTGAGTAGTAACCCTAGTGAGGTCTATCGAGAGAATAAACCTGGTTATTGCATTGCATCTGTTTGTAATCCTTTCTGCATGTAAGTAATCACTTAATTCTATTGCAATGTTGATGTGTTACACTTTCAATATGTTGGATGTGTGTAATTACATGAATTAGAGTGATATATTACTTCGTGTAATGTGTTTGCATGCATAGTGGATTGAGATTTGTTGCGTACTCTGTTTGCTTTGTGAGTGGTGCGAGAGTGTGGTAGTGAGAAGAAGGATGGACAGTCGTTTTCTCCTTTATCTTTGTGAGCCTGTGTGGTTTGTGAGATCGTGTGAGACAGCCATGTCAAGGTTATCTTCTTTCTCTTTGTGAGCCTCCTTTGTGAGTGTAGTGAAGTAACCAGTTCTTTCGTCGATTCTCTCTATGAGTGCCACCTTCACCCTTTCCTTTGTGGATTTTTTGAGCATCGGTGATTGGAGTAACCTTGGGTGTTTGGGTCAATTTAAATTGAGCCCTAACCTTTGTGATCGTCATAGGTATTGATTTTCCATAGTGAGTTTGTGATGCACTAGCAGTGAGGATATCTTTTGATAAGGTGGAGTATAGATGCCTAGGGGTATTTTGTGATTTGTACCGGGGAATATGGAGTGTGACATTTAGATCATGAGTGGAGAGGTGATCAAATGCTGGAATCATTTAACTGTGAAGAGACCCTAATCAAGTGGAGTGTGAGAGAGGCACTTCTGTCAATTCTGTAAGGTGGAGACCCATTATTCACGAAAGTTGGGAGAAGTAATGTAGTGATAGAGGATTATCCCGATAGTTTAGGATCTATTGTGACTTATTAGTTAGACATGATTTGAGTAATCATCTAGTGAGCATGGTGGACAATGAGAGAAAAAATGTGTTCTCAAGGTGGGAGTAACACGGAATGGGATATGATAGGTGTGGCGAGATCTTTTCGGGGGTCATTTATGCGTTGTTGCATATGTGTTTGACCGTGTGTTAATTAACTTGGTGTTAATTTGTGGTTCCCTGTGAGCGTGATCTTGAGAGGATCTGTGTGTTATTTTATATGATATCTTTATCGCATGATTATTTGTTCAATGTGAATACTTGTTCCTACTTAGGTGTTTTTTAGACCTTAGCCCTGGTGAGTACATGGAGTGAATATGGTATGTGTTTTAGGTTGAAAACACGTGGTAAGGTCTATGATTCCAATTTTATTGGATTATCTTGATTGTGCAAGTATAAACTTTGAGTTTTATTTACTTGCAGATTATTGGGCATCAAGGTGGAGATTGTTGGATTTTGATACCCAATAATCCTGGCAACGATGTAAAATAGTTGTTGGATTATTGATTGACACCATGGTTCAACTCGAAAATAACCTAAACTTGTGGATGGTCCAAGTAATAGTTGGGTTATTAGATTGTGAGTTTTGGATTAATTGGTAGCCCATTTGTTTAGATTAAGTAGAAGCCCATTTGCACAAGTCTTTGGCCTAAGTTGTGTATCTAACCTATCCTATACATACCCATCTTCTTGCAGCCGTTTTCATGGTGGTGCGTGGGTGTGTGTTGAGAGAGGGAGAGAGGGCCGAGAGAAGGAGAAGGCCGAGAGAGGTGAGGGGACAGTCGGGTTGGTGGTTGTTGGAGTGAGTCCACCATTGTCGCTTCTTCTTCTACCTATCACCACCACCATCCATTCTCCTTTGTGGAGTTTGAGAGAGTTTGGGCAGTCCAAAGTAAAGGTGGAGTTCTTGGGTTGAGCCGAGTTAAATTGATGTTCGTTTGATTGTTCTCTGAACTCGGAATAAAGATTTATAGAAGGATTTTCGCTACAATCCTAATAGCAAAAAGTTAAAAATAAATAAACAAATGAAGATGAATTTCTTCGACTAGCACTTACAAAGTCATAAGTTTGACATGTGATTAGTCTTGTAGAAGTTTTCTACCCCTTCTTGCCTTCACTTTAGCACTAAAATCCCTGTTTTACATTGCTCCAGTAAAATTACTAAGCCCGAGATAGTACTGAACATGATTATAACAGAAAAAGGGAAAAAATCTTGTTTATTGTAATGTATTTTGCAGTTCGGCACGAAGAGTTCGAACGAGATTAGGGAAGAAATAGGACCTAAAGTTGTGGCCAAAAGCAGTGGCATTGGGGACTACAAATCCTCCATCCAACACCAAATCCATTTCTTCACTGTTAGGGATCTTCTTCTCATTGACTTCACCATCTGTTCCTCAAAGGGAAATAATAAACAATTAATGAATAAAAACAAAGTTCACATATAAATTTTAATTGAAACCCAGAAATTAAATCAACAGAATTACAGAAAACCATGTCCATTTTGAAGGATATAATAATATAGAAATAGAAATAGATAACGAGGAAAAAATATATATATTACCAAGCTTAGGCTGATCAATGAGGATTGTCATCTTGAATGAAAATGAAAGATGTCTCAAAATCAAGGAGGAGAGGAAAATAAATCTTGATTTTGAGAAATGATTATGAAATTTCTTTTTTGAAAGTAGAATATGAAAATTTAGGATGTATTGTGTATTGCAAAAGTAAGAACATAGTCTACCGGAGAGTGCTCGTCGGAGAAGTCCGAGTCAAGAACTCATCCCGGGCAAATCGGACTTCCGTTAAATACATATCCATTTTAACGGTGGATATTTAGGCGTGAATAATTGGACAAAAATATCCATTTAAATTAAGGGGGATTTGATAAAAAAGCCTAGTCAAACAATGATTTTGATAAAATAACCTTCCTTCAATGTTTCTTGGTCAAATGGCCTTCATTTATAAAATACAATAAACAAATAATGTCAAATATCTAAAATACCCTCATCATGAAAAATACCCAAATACCCCTTTCAATCCAATTAAATCCCTCAATTCATCTACAAAATGCATTTACCTGTTTTCCCTGTGATTTCTTCTCTAAAATTTTGATATTCATTGTATTTTTCTTCTATCTTCTCCAACATTGTGAGCATTTGAACAAGAATTTTATTATCTATATTATCTACAT